GCTCATTGCTTTTGCGCCTTTCTCGTTTTTTAATATTTATGCAAGTTATTGCTCCAACCTTTACGTTACGACTCCGACTCTAAACATCCCCCGAGCAGAATTGATCATTCATACCGTTCTTCGCAATCTCACTGCGTCTAAAGAACTGCCAAACGTAAAAGGAGTTTCCTTGGATAACCAAATCCCCACACCTAAGAAAATATCTCTAAAGGAAAGCTTTGTTGGAAAATATATCTCGCCATTTGATATTCCCCTTTTGGTCGAACCATCAATTCATCATTACACTTCCCCGATGTATGCTGGTGAGTTACGCGACGCTTTGGATCAGACACAGTTCGTCCGCAAGGAAGAATATTTCATTCTGCCACATATTGGAATACAACACAGCAAATTTCGCAAAGCAAACGTTGTTTTGTGGTTCACAGATAATGCAAGCACACGCGATTTTATTAAAGGGTTCTATCATGCGTGTGTATTAAGATATTTTGTTACCATACTTTTTATCGCCTACAATTGGACAACCAAAAAAAGATAGAATGCTGCGTATTTGGTGTTTTCGTCCAGTTCACAGGGTAATTTCTAGTAATTGATAATTATCTATTTCTTTAATTTTTTTTGTTTCGAGGGCACAAAATTTAGAATTAGGGTTATTTTCTTTTCAACTAAACTTCATCCTTTTTTCTTTTTCATCTTTTCAAAGATAACCTTCAATGTAATTAGGGATTTTTCTTGGAGAACTCTCAACCAAGGCTAAATATTTCTTAGTTATCATTTCTTTATCACTGATTGCTTTGTATAAAATCCTTTTGGCTGAATTGTTTTTAGGGTAAATAACCAATCCTTTAGTTAACTTATCTAGACGGTGGATAGCAGTCAGAGTAAAAAATTCTCGCAGTTTTTTTTGATATTCGTCCGGTTCCTCTTTCGACAGATAATACCTTACCATATTGTCTAAACTCGGCATAGTTGTTCCGTGTTCTTTTAGGGCAATAAGTATATTTTGGTCTTGGTAAATAATTGTGAAATTCATTTCGACTTTTTTTGGAGTTGGCAAAATATTAAAATCAGAAATCTTTAAGGAATTGTCAAAGATTTTAATTTCGTTGCCAGTTTTTAAGCGATAATGATAGTAACGAACATCTTTATCATTAACTTTTATCTTTTTAGTGCGAAATAGTTTATAAATTAGAGAGAGAGGTGTAGTTTGCAATCTTTTTTTGAGGAAACTGATTAAAGTCTGGTTAGCGGTCTCTTCTTGGATAATAGGTAGGACTAACATTTTTTATTCTTTTTTGGTTTTTATTCGATTTTTTTCAAAAAATGCTGGAAAATAATAGCACAATTGCTCCAATTGTAACCACAACCAAAGGATTTTTTAAGTAGGGTTTTGGCAAGGTGGCGGGTGAAAAGGATTTGGTAGACTTATTGTCGCCTTTCTCATTTTGGTTATCATTACTTTCTAGAACTTGAATAGCGTTTTCGATTTCGTTTTTCATGCTTTCTATGCCTTCTTTTGTTCATCTGTCTAAAAACTTTCTTCTTTCTTGATAAGGTAGTTTTTCTCAACCACTAATTTTTCTCTTAAAAAATCTTTCATCAATAAACTCTTTTACTAATTCTCTAATTTCTAACTCCTCTGGGTCAGTATCAACTACATATAAAAATTTACTATTTTTTACGGAAAGCCAACTTTTAGTGCTTAAAGCAGCATTTTTGATAACAACCGGCTTTTTATTTTCCTTTCACTCGGTCAATTTTTTTTTAATTAGTTCAAAATAATCTTGAGGAAAATCAAGCGACAAAAAAATCTTGTCATAGACAAAGTTGTGGTCATTGAGTGAAACAATCAAAGGAGAATTCAAATCGAAAGATAGTCCATATTCAAGTAAGTTGATATTTTTTCAGTCAAACTTTAAATCTCTAAAATCTCAATCTTGCCTAATTTTTTCATTTTCCTCTTTATTCCGTCCGGCTGATAGGAAATTACTGTTAACTACCAAAACGTTAGAGCAATTTTCAGAAAAACCTATATAATTTCCAGTGTATTCTTCAATTCGTTGTAGTTCAAAATCGTTATTTTCTTTTAGAGCATTGTCAAGAAAAAAAACAAGCAAGGTATCATTTCCAACAAAAAATTCAATTACTTTCACTTTTCTTTCTTCGCCATTTAAGGAAAGTTCAAAGGGTTCAATTTCTACACGAAAAATTCAACAGTATTTATGATTAACCGAGGGGTTAGCCAATCATTTATCAATTTCCTTTAACCCGGTTTGTCTTTCTGCCGCATTTAATTTTTGGACAGCATCAGTTTCTCCGCTTTTTGTGAAACTTATTGTTTGTGTCATGTGAATTTTTTCTGGCTCTTGACTACTTTGGTGTTGTGAAAGATGAGTTTAAAATAGTCAGTCAGTTAATTTCCTCTTGCTGAGTATTCTTTAATAATTGGTTAGTTTTAGAAAAAGGTCGCGAGCCGATAAAATAACCTTTCTGGTCTTTTCCTTTGCTTTCAGCACTATAAGAAGAAGGGTGAGTGCTAGTTAGCACGTAATTATTGAGATTATTAATTCCGCATTGTTCGCCAATTTTGCGAGCCTTTTGCCCTCAAAATACTCAAACAATTTTCTTATTATGTTCGTTTAGATAAACCAAAAGAGAATAAATAAATTCTTCCCACAATTTCATATGAGAAAGTGCCTGACCGTCCCGCACCGTGAGAGCCGTGTTTAACAGAAAAACACCTTCTTTAACTCAAGGAAGCAAATCACCTCTAACCGGCGGAGAACAGTTAAAATCACGACTAAACTCTAAAAAAATATTTTTCAGACTAGCCGGAATATAATTGGATTTTTGAGTGCTAAAAGCAATTCCGTCGGCCACTCCGGGCAAATGATAAGGATCTTGACCTAATATTACCACTTTTATTTTATTCAAAGATATCTCCCGAAAAAGACGAAAAATATTTTCTTTGCTCGGTCAACATTTATATTGGTTATATTCTTCTTCCACTTGTGCGAGTAAGGAAAAAAAATAGTTCTTTTTTTCTTCCTGTTGAAAAAAATCTTGCCACGAATTGTCAACTTGGTCCAAGTGAAATTTTTTTAGTAAATAACTATTGCTCATTTTTTCCCTCCAAAGCTCGACTTTGTTTATTATTTGTTTTTACTTAGTAAATTGATTGTGAACTTGCTATTTACTATAAATTTTTCCAGTTTTTGGTTATTGAGAATCAGAACCATTTCATTTATTAATCCTCTAGTTTTTCAAATTATATTCTTTTTCTTCCTTCGTAGGTAACCTTTATGATAGCCATTATCTGAATACTTGGAGTTTCGTATTATAATTTAAATGAAACCCTGAGGCTAGGTCCCATGGTAGTTGACAACGCAATAAGGTTAAGAAATTGCCCTTTTCAACCGTTTGGACGCAAGTTTGCTACTTTATTGTAAATGTTTTGGTAATTAGTGATTAATTGTTCTAAACTAACATCACTTTGTCCCACTAAGGCATGAATATTACCGCTCTTATCTACTTTTAGCGGTTTTTTCTCTTTTTTGAATTTAGCAATTTCCGAACTAACGATTTTGGTGAGATTGCTGTTTTTTTTGTTCGTTCAGTCTAACGCAAAACTAACTTTAATATTTTTCGATTTTTCTCGATTATTAGAACAAAGAAAGTCCAACCCCTCCTGGGCGGAAAAATGCTTATTGAGGGGGATTTGATTTTTAACTTCTTGGTAGCGTCGGGAATGTTTTTTCATTTTTATAAAAGTATTTAGTTAAGTTTTAGTAGAAAATTAGCGGCGAGATTTGGATTTGCCTTTTACCAAAGACCAATTGTCTAACTTTTTTCGCAAGGCAAAGAAGAGGAGAAAAACACTCAAAAAAAAAAAAAACAATTGCTGTTCCTCTAATTCCTCAATTTCCTCCTCTTTCTGACTGATAAGTTTGGTATGGACTTAGGACTTGTTCAATTTCTTTTCATTCTTCCTCACTGAAACCGCTTTTTCAATGCATTTTACCGTAATTGTAGATTAAGTGATTAGCATACTCATCATAAGTAGGGATAAATGAATCATGAACTAAAAAAGTGTGTGTAACTACCGAGTGTCGGCGAAGATTTAAATTTCGTATAGATCAATATTGACAATTTTCTTTAATGTTATCAATAATCTCTCTTCGGATTTGATTGTAACCAACATCACCGGGGCCGAGTTCAATTCCACTCGAATTACGAATTGAGCTATCACTCGTTCCTAAAATAATCCAATCTCCATATTCTCTTGTGAACATTGTTTGGTTATCTTCTTCTCTTCCTTTACCTTTCGAGAGTGCTTGGTAAGCCGCACTGATTTCTTTAAATCGGCTTTCAGCATCCGAAGAATTATTTTTATCGGGATGTCAGCGAAGAGCCAAGCGAAAATAGGCTTTTTTAATTTCACTTTCGGAAGCGTTTTGGTTTACTTCTAAAATTTCATAGTTGCTTTTCTTTGGTGCTGGAATATTTTCTAAAAGTTCGCTAAGCGGAGTTTTGAATTTTTTTTCAAAAACTCACCCCCTCCTTTTTTAGTTGCAATTTCGCGATTTTTTCGCACAAAGTATCAATATTTAAAAGAATATCAATCCTAAGTTCAGAATTTTCTATTTTTTCTAGTTCGGTTGAGATTTTTCTTTGAATTGCTCAAACTTCGTAATTATCATTAATTGCTTTTCTCTTTCATTCTTTCCACTGCTCTCTATAAGCCAAACGTAAATTTTCAATTTCGTCTCTATTTATATCCACACCTCAATCTTGGTTTAAACGGTTAATTAATTCTTCTAATTCTTCTTCTTTTTTGGTTAATTTATCTACTTGTTCATTTTCTTCTAATTCTTCTAAATCATTTTTTAGCATTTTAATTTTATTTTTTAGTTTTTTTATTACAATAATAAATTATTTTTATATGTTTTTCCGGGCTAGTTCTGGGTAAATAATAGAATTAATAGAATTGTTGATTATAAAAAATGATTTTCCCCCAAACTATCGTTTCCCTCGTTACTGCCCCAATTACTCAAAATGTGGCTTTAATTAGAATATCCGGCCCCCAAACTTACCCAATTATTCGGAAAATTTTTTTTGGTTCCTTACCTACTTATCCCCAAAAAGAAAAAAAGTTAGTTTTTGGCAAGATTATTAATCTCCAAAAAGAAATTGTTGATGAGGTTTTGCTCCTTTGTTTTTATAAACCTAATTCTTTTACTGGCGAGGACGTGGTGGAAATTAGTTGTCATGGTAATTTGTTTATTGTTAATCAAATACTCCAATTAATTTTAGAAAATGGGGCAGAATTAGCCAAAGAAGGTGAATTTACCAAACAAGCCTTTTTTAACGGTAAACTCAATTTAGTTCAAGCCAACGCAGTAAATGATTTAATTCGGGCTCCCAGTTTAGCGGCGGCCAAATTAGCCCTACATAATTTAAGTTCAGAAACTCAACAAGAATTAGAACGGGTTGAAAATAAATTACTAGAAATTATTGCTAACATTAAAGTTAACATTGATTATCCCGAATATGACGGAGTGGAGTATTTAACCGGTAAACAAGTTTTACCACCACTAAGTAAGCTAACGGAAAAATTGAAGATAATTAAGGAAGACGGCGGCAAGGCTCGTGTTTACCAAGAAGGCTTAAAAGTTGCCATCGTGGGAAAACCCAACGTTGGCAAATCCACTCTTTTAAATTCTTTGGTAGGGGAAGAAAAAGCCATAGTGTCGCCTATTGCTGGCACTACTCGCGATGTAGTAGAAGCCCGTTATAGTCTGAACGGCATACCCTTAACCTTACTGGATACGGCTGGCATTCACCCAACCCAAGATATCGTAGAAAAAATTGGTGTAGAAAGAAGTTACCAAGTTTTGGCAACAGCCGACATTATCTTTTTCCTAGTAGATAATTCAGATTTTTGAGAGGCAAGCGAAGAAAATATTTACCAAAAAATTCGGCAAAAGAATTATTTACTTATTATTAATAAAACCGATAAACCAAAAAAACTCCAAGTCCCTGATTATATTCCTTCTCCAAAAATCTGTCGTATTAGTGCAAAAAACAAGCAGCTGGGAGAATTAGAAACTAAAAGTCAAGAATCATTTGCTACTAACTTATTCACCAATTCCCCCGCTTACCCTTATTTGAGCCAAAGTTGGCAGCAAACTAAACTAACCAAACTTATTCAGCAGTTAGAAAGAGTAATTAGTGAATTAAAAAAAGAAACTTATTTAGATGCTTTAGTTAGTAGTTTAGAAAATAGTTATAAAGTGACCAAAGAATTAAGTGGTAAAGAATATAAAGAAGATTTATTAGACATTATTTTTAGCAAATTTTGTTTGGGGAAATAAAATTGATTAAAAAGATAAATGTTATACATTTGTCATGTGCCAACCCCAAAAAAAATGTTTAACTTGCCAGCAAGCCCAAGAGTGAAGTCACAAAGAAGGAGGAATTTTTTCTTGTTCTGATTGTCAAGCTAGATTTAAAAAGGGGAGAAAATTATAATGATTATCACAAAAAAATTTAATTAGAAAGTTTTATAATAATATATAAAAAACAAGATATTCGCATTAAACATAGTTAATTAAACATTTCTTATTATATAAAATTATATAAAACTTTTAAACTTAAAACAAAAAAAAAATTTTCGTTAAAAAAAATTTACTGAGAAAACACAACTATATCAATTACTTTAACTTTCTTTCTCTTTTCCATTCTTCAAAGGGCGTGTCATCATGGTCGCTTTTTTCCAATTTAATCCCCGATTTTAAAAGTAATTCGTAATATTTTTTATTCACGTTCTCAAATTTCTCTACTCTCTTTTTCCAATTTTTTAAACCTTTTTCTGAGTCGTCATGTAAAGTATCCAACACTTTTTTTTCGCTTTCGGCTTTTGCTCTCTTTTCTACTTCTTCAATTAATTTCGGGATTATTCCCTTTATCTCTTCTCCAGTATTCTCTTTTATTTCATTTTTATGAAAATGTGAAACAATAATATCAACAACAACTGTAACAACTGCACCGATGATTGCAGGAATGGATGCTATTATTAAATTTTTTACGAAATCATTCATATCTTTTATTTATTTATTAGGTTTAATTATTGTTTATCGTTTTTAAATATCAAAATTAAAACAATTTCAGCAAGCCAGTAAGCAATTTTTAAACTAACTATAATTTTTTCGTTCAGACACAAAAAAATTGTTCAGACTTGTTTAGTGACATTTCCGACATAGTCCACTATCAGTATCTACTTTTTTGTATTCGCCACAGTTAATGCACTTGCTTTCGGTTTCAACTTCTTTTTCTTCGGTTAAAACCTTATTATTCTGTTCTGGCTTAATTTCGTTTTGTAATTTTTGTCTTTCCAAGCAAGAATAACAAGGGCATTTAACCTTACCTCTTTCTTCGTGAAATTTGGCTGATTCAATATCTTTTAAGTGTTCTTGGCTTTGCTTTTCTAATTGTTCAGTAGTAGTAAGGAAATTGTTTTCTATTCTCGCCTTTTCGTAACTCCAATATCTAATTAGCTTCTCCTGTTGCTCCGGAGTTAAACTCAACCAATGTTTTCCGATGGCTAGTTCTTTCTTGTCTGTCTCTCGATAATCTCTGATTAAAATTTCACCTAGTTCACATAATCGCATAATTTCACTAGTGTTGTGGACTCCGTTTTCGGCTAAATCTTTCAGAGTGCGGGAGAAAGTAAATCATTTCTTTTGCTTATCTTTATTGAGTAAGGTGTATTCTTTGAAAGTCATTAAGATTTTGTAATTCTCAACTTGCGAGTACTTTTTGATTTGTTGGTTTTCTTGCTCTTTTTTATGTTTTTTAGTTAGTTGGTATCTATTTTTGCGACGAAGTTTTATGGTAGTTTGGTTAGCTTGGTAATAGTTTTGGTTGGTTATTTGTTTATTCATGTTTCTTTTTGTGGTAAAAATAATGTGGTTCTAGCCCTTTTAGGTTAAAAATCAAGATTTCGCTGTGAAATAGCACATTAGGAAAAATATTCTTAGGTAAAGTAATTCGGCTACTAATTGGTGGATAAGTGCCATTCTCGAATTTGGCGTGTCTTTTACTTTCGAAGGTGAGATTTAAGCAAAAACCAGCCGGGACAAATAAAACGATGGGTATTTCTTTACCAAATAACTCGATTATTTTGGCTAATCAGACTTCACTGCCCAACTGGTGACCATAACCATTAAAAGGTGGGTTACAGAGAATAAGAGATGGTTTTTTTCACTTCCGCTCTCACTTTTCAATTTTTAAGAAATCAAATTTAATATCGGCTGAACTAGTTTCGTCCCTATCTATCCCCCAAGTTTCATAACCAGTTTTTTTTCAAGGCTCTAACAAAGAACCTTGACCGGAACAAGGATCTAAAATAAGTGAACTTTTTTGAAAAGCTTTCGGGTGATCATAGTCATATTCTTGGTAAAAATGAGTTTTAAGTAACTCATAAATAAATTCACTCACTTCTTTCGGAGTGTAAATGGTGCTATTCTTAGGTTTAGTATGATAATTATTACGGTTCATTTGATACATGGTTTTTTAGCAATCAATTTCTCAGCCTAACTCTTTGGCCTGCTTAGTGATCAGTTCTTTTAATTCGTAAAGAACAAATTGACCCAGTTGGCGAACGATTTCTTTTTCGATGGTGGCTTGATTAATTAGGGCTAAAGAAGTTAGTCTTTCCCCTACTCCAAGCACAGCATCGTATCAGCCGCCATCGGAAAAAGTCAGGAGTTTTTTTAACTGCTGTGGTTGGCACAGTTTTCCCACTAGTCCCAGTTCTCTCAAAGCTTGTTTTAGCAATTGTTTTCGGTCTAGTAAAGCAAACAGGTGACTAAAAGTTAACTCTTGGTTAGCCGGACTAAGTTCTTTTTGCCAATTACCTCGTCCCGCCATTATTTTTAATCCGGTTAAGGTAGTTGCTCAGGTGGGGATAGCAAGTCCTACTTGATTTTCGACTATTCTAGCTCGTAAGTTAACTGCGGCGGTTACTGAACGAACGTAGTTCTGCTGAACTTGCAAAGCAGTAGTTAGGTGGCTCTTGCTTTTACTACTGGCAGTTCGCAATTGCTTTTTTAATTCTTTAATTTTAGCACTAGTTTTAACTAAACCAGTGGGTTTTAGTTTGTGGTTACGGTTCATAATGTTTAATAAATAAATGGTGATTAGTTTGGGGTTTAGCCCTTACTATAATCAAATGGGGAGAGGAAAATTCCTCTCCGGGGTTTAACTTTCGACTCAATAATCATCTTCGTTTTTCCCTTGGTATCGTAGGTTGTTCGGTTCCCCGAGACTGACTAGTAAATGTCAAATTTTGTCTTCGGCTCAGCCACGAATACCACACCGAATTATTGGCATACCATCGTAAAGATAATTGCCGTTAATCACTGCTTCATAATAATTAGCTAATTCTTTTTGCATGTTAACAAAGACTTTATCTCGCAATTCATAAATGCGTTCTTGTTTAGCCTGCTCGGCCTTAGTTAAACTTTTTCCGCTCTCTTCTTTTTCCTGAAATTGCACCAAATAAGAATGGGCAGTAAGAAAATCCTTTACGGGGTAAAATTTGCTGGGGTTACGATTCATAATTTTTTAAATTTTTAAATAGGCGAAACTACTCAGGTTTAGCCTGGTTGGTTTCAGATAGTGAAATATTTTTTCTGCCCAGGAGTAAAATAATAATAAGTTCGCGGTACTTTTCGTTACGGTTCGGTGCCGCGGACTTGCTGTAGTGTTCTTTGGTTCGAATTAAGAAATAAAGAACAGTGCTGATGCTGAACGGATTTTAATCATAAATGGAGAAAATAAACCGATTCTTCTTCGTAGTCACAAGTTTGTTGGATTTCGTTGGCGTGGTTGCTCACGTAAAGAACATAGTTCTTCTTTTCTACATCACTTTCACTGATGGGAAACTTACATTCTCGGCAAATGAAATTAGTGAGTAATTCACTCTGCTCAAAACTTCCGTTAAATTCTAAAGGAATAGCAGACATAATTGGTTAAAAATATTGGCTCTAACTGCTAATCGCAAGTACACTTATCTCAGGAACCCAGTTAGAACTTAGTGGTTTAGTGATTCGGACGGTTAGAAGTTACGGTTCCTCCGCATTACGGTCTTTCCACCACTGTCCCTTTTCTTCTTTTAGCTCTGGAAAAAGGCGAAAAAAGAGCTTCCTCTGTTTAGAAAAATCAGGTTAAAATTCGTTTGAGAAGTTTAAGAACTAGTTTGCAAGTGAAATAAAGCAGCCAAAGAACTATTAGGATAGAGAAAGTGAGCACTAGAAATTCCTGCTGTTCGTTTTCTGCGGCTTGGAAACCGGATTAAACTATTCAGGCGACAAATTCTCCTATATAGTGACAAATATTTTGGGTTACGGTTAAAAGTTTCATAATTACGGTTACTTTTTAGTTTATATTATATAGTGATTTGAAAAGAATTTCTTTCACCTAGATTTTTGGAATTGGGGTTTTGTGGGAGTTTAGCAGAAATTAAGAGTGAGAATTTGGATGTTTTTAAAATAAAAAGCAAATTCAGAAAAGTTAATCAGAAAAATTAGGACTTTTCTAAGTTAATGAAAGTTGTTTCAGAGCCACTAATTCTTGGTTTCATCACTCTTGTAAATAACCAGTTCTACTACTAATTAAATTTTTGTCGATACTGCAGTTTTCTAGCACATTAATATTCAACCCTTTAGCTTGGATAGTAGCCATTGTCACTACATAAAAAGCATTCACGAAAAAAATTACTACTCCCGCTTTTATTCCTACTTCTCACATCACTTCTTTTCAAGATTTTCTTTCGTTTTGTTCACTCTTATTCCAAAATCTCTTTCCCCACAACCCTTCAAGCACTGGAACTAAACAAATAAAGGGCAAGATTAATCCCAACACTCTAATAAATATGTCTACTATTCGAACATCTCTACTACCAACCAAACAATTAAATTCGTGACCTTGCGGAACACACTGAGTGATAGTATGCCAAGAAGTTGCTGGCATTTGAGAGCAATCAGTGATAAACTGAGCACTTTTAGGAAAATTATAAAGATCAGAATACATGACTAATGAAACTATGTTTCAGAAATAACTAAGAGGCGGTGAGACTATATTGAAAGTAATTGCTAAATTAATAGCAATAAGTATTAAAGTAACAATTAGTTGAGTAAGTAATCCCAGTATGTAAGCACAACCTTGCTGTTGTTCAGTATCGCCACAAGCTCTTGACAACCTGAAACAACCTCTCGCAACAGTTCCATTTTCTCACATTATCCCTACTTCTTTTCATGCTTTTTCTAATCACCTAGTTAACTTACTTCGAAAAGTTATGAAATAAACCAAGGTAGCCAAAGAGGAAGTCCAAGCTAATTCGGGATACTGGAATCCATTTAGTCCGTAAACTATCAAAGTAATGCAACTACCAAGTAAAGCAGCAGAACAACGAGTAGCCGTAATGGTTGAAGAAGTCGCACTTAATAAACCAACTTTTAACTGTTCTTCTTCGGACTGTTCTGGACTAGTTTGTTCTTTGTCAAAAGTATAGTATCCTATCACTATTCCAATAATAGCAAGGGAAGCATTGATCAAAGCAATCGGTCAGGGTGTGGGCAAACCACTAGGATTTATTACCATTTCACCCACTACTGGAGCAAAGAGAAAAGGGAGAAGAAAAATTCACCTGTTTTTTAATTTTACCTTCATATTAAATTATACGGTTTTTTTGCTTCTAACCGCAATTTTAGCTGGTAAAAGTTTTGTCTTTGGCTAGTTGTGGACAAGAATAATTAGCAAATTTTTTTCTAATTTTTAGTAAAATTAAACTATGAAAAAGAAACAATTTTCTCCGAAAGAGCAAGAGTTTGAAAAATACTTGCAGAAAATAGAGGATCCGAATTATCAGGGAGAAGTAAATTACGCTTTACCGGAAAATCCAACTCCTTTACAAGTGGCTAAGTTTAACATTTGTCAAAACATTCTTCGTTATAAACGAGAAAACAATTTAACTAGGGAACAAACAGCGGAAAGAATTGGATTAAGTAAGGCAGAAACCGAAGATATTTTATTTAGTCATATTGAACAATTCACTCTCGACCGATTAGTTGATTATGCTAGTAAATTGTTCGAACCATTGGAAATTAAAGTAGTAAAAGCTGACGCGAGAAGAATTAGTGTCTAGAGAAAATGGAACCGAAAGAAAAAACTTGAGAATACGAATGTGATTTAAGTTTCTCAGGAGAAAAGATTACTAAGTTCACTATCACTGACCATTGGCAAAAAAATCATCCTGAGATAAGCCGGGAATTAATCAGTAATCTAGTAAGAAAATTAGATAAACAAGAAGCCGAATTAACTAATTATCTAGGAGCACGTAAAGTATTTAGGTGAGAAATAACTTATCGAAGAAAAAGATATCGTCTCATCTTCTGATTTAAAGATAAGGAAACTTCTCATTTATGAATCAGAAACTGTTATCCGATAGATTAACCTTTTTTTTAGTTGTAGACATTCGAAATAATTTGGGTTCTACTTTTTTAGGTCTAACAAATTGTATACGCTCTTGAAAGCTTGAATGAGTTGTAAACCTAGTGTCTCAACCTGGCATATACAATTCTTGGTGTGTGTCTACAACTTTCGGTCAAACCCAATGCGTATACAATCTTTTTTTTGTTCAACCTTTCAAACCCTAATTTGTTAGACCCGAATTAATTGTCTACAACCTAATATTTTCCAACTCACTTAGCAGAAACTCCTCTCTTCCCCCTTATAATATAACCTAAAAAACTGTAACTTTTATGAACCGTAACTTCATAACTACTACTGAACCGTATCACGGGTTTTTTCCTTTTAGTAAAAGAGGGAGATATAAAAATCCCAACTATCCCAAAGAGAATTGGGAGAAAAAGAAAGAATTTTATAATTACAACCGAAGAAAAAGATATAAATATTTCGGAGTTGGAACGGGGAGATTAGAAGATAGGCATCACTTAGATAGAAAGACTAGGCATTGGGTAAATTTCTTGCAAACAGAAGGTTATAAATTAGTTTCTCCCGAATACCTTGCTAAAAGTATTAGCGGTGGACGTGAAACTTTTTTAGCTTTAGCTATTATTAGTAAGCAGAACTTGTTTTTTTTAAAAGAGAGAGTAGAAACAAACTATAAATCCCAGCAAAAAGATTTCTTATTTGCTTATTTGGTGCAGCGAGAAAAGAAAGAAATAGAACAAATTATTCACAAGTATTCGAGAAGGTTCCGAAAGAAATGGCAAGAACTAAAATTGAAAACAGAAATATTAAGTCAGTGAGACCATCCTTCCAAACTAGTACCGGGTTACTTAGCCGAAGGCAGACCCAAACCCATTGCTGAAACTAAAGGCTGAAATTTACCTACTTACTGGGAAAGCAAAAATAGAAGTTTAGCTAGTTTAAGTTTTATCTGTGAAGTTATTTTAGGGAAAGTAGAAACGCCCCTGCTAGATTTGGATCCCAACAAAAAAGACAAATTTGGGAACTATAAAATCAAATCGGAATGGTTACGAAACCAACTAAGTGTCGGTGGTAAAAAATGAAATTCTCTAGTAAACAAATTCCAAATCCCTTACTACTGAACTACTGCTACCCCCGGTAATTCTCTGCTCCCGCTCCCTTTCTGATTTGCTGGTAACCCCAAAAAAGCCAAAGTTTTTCATGCTGATACCCATACACCAGTTGCTGATTTACTTAGCACCGATAATCTAGTGGCTTTACCAGTGGAAGCAGAACCGAACAGACAGATAGTGATTACTAAGTGAGGGTGAAAGTTAGTAAAGAAATTTGGCAGAGAAGGAATTTTACGCAAGCAATTGCGAACGGGAGATGCTCGGGAGCAAATAGAACAGATACTCCAGAGTATTTTTCTAACTTTGGGTAAAAGCAGAAGAAAAGCAAGAGGTAATTACCAATCACTAACTAGCGAAAGCAGTGAAAAACCCCCAGCAACTAATCTAGTGAAAATTCTAAGCAAAAGTCAAACCTACTTACCAGACTTCTGAAAAATTTCTTACCAAAATACTAACTGTGAGAAAAACTATTGCTTACTAAATACTTACCAGCGGCCGGGGATTTTGGAAGAGTTAGAAATTGGAAAGGAAAGGAATTTGCTGCTAGTGAGTGGGCATAGCCATAGTTTTTTGAATAGGGTTGGATAGAATTTAACTATTTCCCGTAACTTTTGTCATGTTTATTAATATCAATTTCTCAGACTTGGTTGTTTTCTCAAACAAAAGTTATTCGGTATTGCTTATTTATTCGAATACTTCATCTGTTTTCTAAACCCTTTAACTTTTCTAAACGATTAGCAGGATAGTTTCGTAAATCATTGAGTTGCTTAGCCTGGCCTACTAAGAGTAATTTTCGAGGAACTAATTTGTTGATGCTTAAAGGAAATTACAAATGAAAAGTCTTAAATTAGGGTGAAGGAAAAACGCACCCTAGGCTCATTGTGTAGGAGGAGTTTGGGAGAGAGTTTAGATACAGAAAATGATTATACCCCATTTTAGAACTGAAGAAGGTGGGAAATTTAAAAAGGATTTACATGTCGAAAAAAAAAACTTACTCTTTGTCTTTGGAGATCGATGGTTATTCTTTTCAGAAAGTAGAGGTTAGTTAGCATTATAAGAAAAAGCATGCTGACATTACCGACGAGTTGATTTTGCAATTATTGAAATTGTTTGTGAATAAAAAAGATTTTCAACCTGATAAACTAATTACTGATTATTTTGTGTTAGAAAAGATACTACATTTAGGTAAAAAGTATAAGTTAGTTTGACAGATTGAGAATGGTAAAACTTTTTATAGTAGTTAACTGTTATCGAATTAGAAAAAAAACTGGCTAAAAAACCCTCAACGAAGTCTAGCAACTAATGGTTAAACCATTTTTCTAAAAGCATATACGTTAGAGAATGTGTAAAATGTAATATATATGAAAATAAATCTAAATAATAAGCAAATTAAATCCTTATTTTTGTTAAGTTTAGTGGGTTCAGCCGCAACTACTAATGAACAAAAACCAAATAACCAATCAGAACTAACTCTTAATTCGTTGCCGCAAATAGGGACTAATCTGACCAAAAGGCAAGATGATAATTCTGATCCAACTTTGGTTTTTGCTGGGTATCCGATCTCTATTGAAAATAATGATGGTGTCAGTTTAGGAAATTGTACCCTTGGTTTTGCGGTAAATATTGCGAGTAATAATAATGAGTGGTTGATGCAAAGCCACCGGTGAGGCATTCATAACTTCTGCTCGTTGTTGTCAGAAACATAATCATTGCTTTGGAGATAATGTTTTTTCAACTGATTATGAAAAGAAAATTAATACTGGTATAGTTCATTATTCAACTTATACTGATACTTCTTGCTGACAAAGAGTTAATTTTGATTTTTTTCAAATATTAATGCCTCGTTTTGAAGAAGATAGAAATAAAATTAAAATTGTTTCTTATGTTGCGGGCAAAAAAGGTTTGTTTTATCCTGTGATAGGCCTAGGTGTTGTTGAACTAGGAGAAGAAGTATGTGCCTTTGGATCTTTCAATGGTTACCTTTGTGGAAAATTAGTGGAAACAGGATCAAGTTTAGAAATAAGTCAAGAAAATGCAAATTATACGTTTGCGGGTATGAATAAGGTAGATTTAGGAGAAGGTCATGGATTTGATAGTGAAAGAGATTTAGGTGGTCCAGTCTATGTGACAAGTAATATTGGAGAACGCACCATTGCCCAAGCTTTAGGTTACATTAGTGGTGTTGATAATAATGATCTAAATCACAAGTTTTTTTACTATACTCCTCTTTCTGCTTTTATTGGCTATGCTAGCGTATTAAATAATGAGTGAGGATATTGTGCTGTTGAGTTAATAACTTTCAACGAAACCAACGCTCAACAATACGACAATTTACTCGCCCAAGTAGAAATCCCTCCTAAAAAATAATACTTTTTATTATGAATAATTTACTCAAAATCTTTTTAACATTTATTCTTACTTCTTCAACTGTTTTCTCAGTTAATAATTTCTCCCAACCCCTTTCCGAAACTGAATTAGAAATAGGAAAAAATTTTTCAGAAATAGTTAAGCGTGGTGATAAACTAATTCTTTATGGTGGAATGAAAATTACGGCAGTTTCCGTAGATAAAGGAAAGTCAAACCAACGAGATTGTACTCTTTCTTTCCCAGTATATCGAGTTGATGATAGAGAATTAGGATTTTTAACTTCTTATGCTTGTGCCGAGGATAATATTATTGTAGGAACAACTGAAGTTGGTACTACTGAATGACCTTATGGTGTTTCCTCTAATGTAGACTATGCCTTTGTATTAGTATATTCTGATTATTGGTCAGATACTATTAGTCGCAATATTTCCTATTCTCGCTGTGTTAAAAGTGGACGAGGTATTGTTGATGTAGATGAACCTTTACCAATAATCCCTTTTCCTAGCCAACCCCTCGCGGTAGGAGATAAAGTCTATGCTCACGGGGGAGTTAGTGGGACAGTACACGGAGTGATTTTGAAAATAAGTGTGAAAATACAAACAAAAACTAATCCTCCTAGTTATCTT